ATTACTGAAAGTCGTGGATATAAGCTAGAATTTTCGATGATATATTTAGAAGCGATTTCGAAGTGATAGAAGATACACGGGCTTTTCTCTCGTAGTCTTGAATCTTTGGACATTCAACAAACAACGCACGCATATTTTACCATAAAATTAGTATTTATTGTTCACAAACTAGTTTAGAAAAGTAAAAATGGATTATTTTAACCAAGCACAACAAATTCTGTATGCAATTCAGAAAAGTTATGCTCAAAATTTATTTGTTTATTCTCGATAACTGACATCAAAACTGTTCTGTGTTAAATTTGTGAAAGAATTATTATTTTTAATTATTGAATATGCTCCTTGAAATTTCGACTAAAATATTAGTTTCAACATAGGACTGGAAATAACGATAATAGTTTTGACATAGCACTTGTTTGACAAGTTTTTAACATAATCAAAAATTCTTTAATAAAGTTACAATAGTGTAAAAGGTCTGTGACTTCGATAATATTTTGTTTTTAGGACTAGAAATAACGATAATAGTTTTGACATAGCACTTGTTTGACAAGTTCTTAACATAATCAAATATTCTTTAATAAAGTTAGAATAGTGTAAAAGGTGTGTGACTTCGATAATATTTTTTTTTATCCCAGAACAGAACCTATATTTAGGCTTATAATTACTGCTACTGCTACATTTCAACTCCTATATACAGTTAAATTTAAGTTTTCACTAATAAAAAACATATACCTGAATTATTCTTGCAGACATCTTCATTTGCAACAACAAACTCAGCAATTTGGTGAGACATGGAGAAGACACTCGGACCAGCATCTACACTTTAAAAAGTTTCATCAAAATGCTAATCGAGACTACTACAACTCTATCGAAAATGCAACACAAATGTATGGGCAACAACAACAACTGACTCTGCCAAGTCATAACAAAATTGCGCACTATCAATCTCAAAAGACCAAGGACAAAAGACACGAGAAAAAATCACAGAAACAACCGAATAAAATATACAATGCGAATAAATCTCAGGTGGTTCGAAAACTAATCTTGCTGCTCTAAATCCATAAGTAGTCGCTTCACCGCTGGGCGATCACCATTTTCTCAAAATTCACAGACGGAGTTAGTAAAAAAATTACGACGTTATGTCGTCGCACCGAATCTGTTGCTCAACTATGGCTATCCCACCGATAGCACTATGTACAATGGTAAGGTTGTAATTTTCAAGAAGTTAGCACCCGCTTTCAATGCTAGCACCGACACCGACGACAATGTGAACCTAGCTTAGTTGGAGCGACAACTCATGCCGAATAAAAATAAAGAGTCTAAGCAATGCGTACGTTGTGAACGCCCTTTCCGTGTCACAAGCTCTGGCGTATATTTGATGCCAGAGAGATGTACCTTTCATTGGGGTAAATTGTATAAAGTAAATATCCGGCATAAGAATTATCGTAAACAATATACTTGTTGTGGTGGCTGCGAGTCAGTGGGCTGTATGGACCGGTGTTGTGCCCGGCATTAATGGGCCATATCGCGATTTTGCGCACACACGCCAACTTACCGACGAGCCTAAGGTGTACGCACTGGACCGTGAAATGTCCTTTATTGGACGTGGATTAGCTTTGACCAAGGTCACTGTGATCGGGTTTGATGGGCAATTAGTCTATCAGCACTTTGCAATTGTCGACTATAACGCATTTCTCTGGCGTAACCAAAATGACATTTCCAAATGGAATAAGGGAGTTAAGTCACTGAGGTACAGCTTGATTTGCTTCAGATAATTCACGCCAACTCAATACTTATAGGACACGGTCTAGAAAATGACCTGAGAGTCCTACAAATTGTCCACAAGACAGTTGTCGACACTTCAATAGTATTTAAACATTCCAACACTTTTCCTTATCGACACTCGTTAAAACATCTGACCAAAACATATTTGAAACGTAATATTCAATTAGATGGCCAGAGTCCCGATAGTTTAGAGGATGCACGGGCGTGCTTGGAGCTGATGTTGTGGAAGGTGGCCACTGACAAACAGGAGGACTAACAAGTGGATCTATTTGCTGCTCCCTTGTAATAGCGCTGCGGTGGTGTGGCTCTTCCAAACAAGGTATGCTCTGCGCTTAAATTCTCATCGCTTTGATACCAAGTCATGCTTCATTATTCGACACTTCTACGTCGTGTCACTTCACATTCCAAAAGTGTCCTGGAGTTTTGCCCTCCGTTCTTCTCAAATATCACTCACCACAGTTCAAACAGAATTACGAAAGTTTCGTTTCGTGTCTGCATGGGTTAGGATTCTTTTATATTGTTTGGGTTCACTCGGGAAATGGTTGTATGTATAAGGAAATGAGAGAGATGGTTGATGTAGGGTATAATAAGCCTAATGCAGTCTAAATGCGCTCGCATGCGGTCCGGCGATTATGCGCTGTCCTTTTCAACCGAGAGAGAGAGATAGAGTGTGTATCCCTGCGGTTGTTTTTTCCTTAATTACATAAAAGTTAAGTTTAAGATTGGATTGTATTTGGGGATTAAAAGTTTCTCAAGTGAGAACTGTAATACTTCGATTATTTAAAATATGTACGTATACGGCTCTGTGAAAATTGAAAAAATTAAAATAACAAAAATAGAAATTTAATAAATTATGCAATTTGAACAAATTTTAGATTTGAAACAATTTTAGGCTCCTTTAGGAAAATTCATTTAAGTTTTTTAAAAGAACTAGGAAGTGAAAAGAAAAAAAATTGGAATGTTTTAACCCTTAGGGACAAAACACCTGATTCTGGATTGTTCAGCAATTTGCAGAAACAGCCTAAATGCCCTAGGTTCCACCTACGTGGACAGAGAACACATAACCTCAGTTGCGCCCAACAGGTACCTGGAATTGTTAGTATGTTGGACCTTGGTGACCATTAGTGATATAGGGGAGAGCACAATCGAACGTAGGTCGCATTACAAAACCTCAATCTTTACTATCTATCTATCTATTGTTGTTGTAGGAAGTGAGGAATCGCGAAATGCAGGGTATGATACAAGCGGTCTCTTATATATATATATATATATATTATTGTTTCAGCACTAAAAAAAAAGGCTGCTAAACAATATTGTGTTATTATCCTTATTCTTCATGGTAGACAAGATCACGTTGAAAGTATTAAGAAAAAAATTTCGACGGTCGGAATCACAGGAAAATAGATATAAAATATAGTGGCCAATCACTATTTGATTCCACATTTCTCCTTCCAAAAGCAAGATACGAATCTCCGGACACGGCACCTTTATAGATGGATCTCAGTCCTCCGACTCAAATCACAGGTCGATAAAGATAGTGAACGTAATTATGATTCACAGTCCGTTTTTATATTGTTTGTATCGCTCAGAACGCAATAGATTTAGTGTCATATTTAAATAAATGAGCAGACGAGTTGAAATCCGAGAAGATCGCAGTCGCCAGGGACACTAGTGTGCCAAATATTTTTTAAGTGTTAACTTTATAAGTATATCAAACGAAATTTTTTTGCTGTCTCTCCAAACTCTCTGAAGATTTGTAAAATCAGATAATAACCATGCCTATTCGACATATAAAGATTATGTTGAAATCCAATAAAAGTCAATAACAGCTTATGTAAGACACGAAATCGCTCGATCTTCCCTAGTGACAGCGCTTCTCACTATGGGCTTTTGCAAAGTTCCGAGAAGATCCTATGATTTCTAACTGAATTTTGTTCAGCGATGAGGCTCATTTCTGCCTCAATTCGTATGTAATCAAGTAAAATTACAGCATTTGGGACAAAGCAACCTAAAGAGATTCAAGAACTGCCGTTTTATCTAGAAAAAACAACGATTGGTGTGGCTTGTGCGCCAGTGGAATCATCGGTCCATGTTTCTTCAAGTCGCAGGTGCCATATCAGGTGTATAGAGTGGCTAATGGTTAAAATGTGATTTTTGGTCAAGTAATCGTCCTTTGAATATTGGATTCGGAGCAATTATTGGTCGTCAGTCAATTTGTGCGGAAGAAACCGTGCACACACCTTTCGTAAGCCCAAATGCTCGGTCAAAATGCAATAAATCGATGTTTTGGAGATATTCAATGCCATTTCCATGAATTTCAATGATGATTTTGGCAGATTTTTGCTGAATTCGCGCATAGTTTCGATGGAATTTCCTGTGATCATGGAGTTTGGTCCCCGATCACTTTGAAAACGTTGAAACCACTCGAGCACTCTGCTACGGGATAGGCTACCAGCGCCATAAACTTGTTTCATCAATTGAAACATTTCCGTAAAAGTTTTACCAATTTTAAAACAAAATTTAATGTTGGCTTTTTGTTCGAAGCTCATTTCGCACCGATAACCCAAACATACTGACACTTAAAACGCAATAACTTCACTTCCAATCGATGAAATGTCTCACTGGACARTCGATAAAGATAGCAGATTCTAACGCACCAGTCGACGTATAGATGGCGCCACCAGGGGCGCTAGATTCAAAAAGTCCGTTTTACTCCGCTCCTTGTATATACTTTGTAAATAAAATCCTTAAAAGCATATGTGGACAATGATGTATTTAAATAAATAAATAAAAAAAATGGATTGCTACTAGAATCCATAATATTTCAGTTGAAGGAAAATATAGTTTTGTAAACAAGATTTTCAATACAAATACAAAAAGATACTTATTTGTATAAAAATCCAAAACACGACTTTCAAGAACTAAATCGTTATATACAAGAAAAAATTTGAAAACAAACATTTCGTTTCTCCTCTTGCATAATTTTTCAAGGTAACTGACTATCTTCCATCTCAGCAGGTATGCACTTTAACTGTAAGAGCGACAGTGAGAGCAATATACCCCAAATGAACGCGTGGAAGGATATCGCTTCTATGTTACCTGCAAAGGTGTGACTATGAAGGAGCGATTGCAGAAATTAATATAAAAGCCAGAATTTTTCAGGATGGATTTATAAACGATTTCGAAGTGATCAAAGAAACATCTCTAGTAGACTTATGTTTTGGATATTACACAACAAAGTCGCGCATATTTTACCATAAAAATAGTAGTTATATTTCCAATTTATTCGCATCAAATAAATCGTAAGTATAAATTAAAAATATGGGTATTTTTATTTTTAACACATTCCATATAACTGACATCACAAACATCATTCTTGCAGTCAATTTCATTATGCCACAAGAAATGCGTCAAAATGGTCAGACAAGGAGCAGACATTCGAACCCCTACAACCCTCATCGAAGTGCATTACAAATGTGTGGGCAACAAGTGGAACCAACTGTGCCGAAGCAGAACCAACGATTGTCACTGCAGTTGCCACAATTTCTGAAAGAATTGAGGATACTGCAGGTCCAGGTTGCACATCAACAATCGCAAATGACGGGTGCCAAAAGTGACGAGAAACCCCCGCAGAAACAAGCGAAATGTGATAAGAAAAAACCTCTGGCAGTTCGAAAAACCATTCATATTGCTGCGACAAATCCACAAGTGGTCGCTTCACCGCTGGGTGATCGCTATTGGCTCAAAATTTCACAGTCAGAGTTAATAGCAAACTTAAGACGTTATATTATCGCACCGAATCTTTTGCCCATCTATGGCTACCCATTTGACAGCACAATCTACAACGGTAAAGTTGTAATTTATAAGAAGTTAGCACCCCCGTTCTATACAAAAAGTACCAGCAAGCCAAATGCGCCCAACAACGATGACAACGTGAACCCGACTGACTTGGACCGACAACATATGCCGAATAACGATGAAGACCTTAAGCAATGCGTACGTTGTGAACGCCCTTTCCGTGTGACAAGCTCTGGCGACTATTTAACGCGAGAGAGATGTACCTTCCATAAAGGAAAACTGCGGAGAGTGTATACTCAAAACAAGAAATACAACTTACAATACACATGTTGTGGCGCCTCCAGAGAATCAATGGGCTGCGCGTCCAATCCGGTGCACGTATGGACCGGTGTTGTGTCCGGCCTTAATGGACCATATAGCGGTTTTGTGCACACACGCCAGATTACCGACGATCCCAAGGTGTACGCGTTGGACTGTGAAATGTTTCATACAGCACGTGGACTGGCTTTGACCAAGGTTACTGTGATCGGCTTCGATGGGCAATTAGTTTATCAGAATTTTGTGCGTCCCACGTCAAACGTGGTCGATCACAATAGGCGTTTCTCAGGTGTTACTGACAGAGATGTATCCAAATCAAACAAAACAGTTAAAACGATCGGTGAGGTGCAGCTTGACTTGCTTCAACTAATCGACGCCAACTCAATACTTATAGGTCACGGTCTCGAGAACGATTTGAGGGTCCTTCAAATTGTACACAAGACAGTTGTCGACACTTCTATCGTTTTTCCTCATTCCAACGGGTTTCCTTATCGACACTCACTAAAGTATTTGGTGAAAAAATACTTAAAACGTAACATTCAATTAGAAGGCAAGAGTCACGATACTTTAGAGGATACACTGGCATGTTGGGAGCTGATGCTCTGGAAGGTGGCTACCGACAAACAGGAGCGCTAACAAGTGGATCTCGATTTTAATGGCTAGGAGTACACTATGTCTACGTTGGGTGCTACCTTGTAGTAACGCTGTGGTAGCGTGGCTCTTCCAAACGAAGTATGTTCTGCGTTGAATTTCTCATCGCACTGAGAGCATGTCATGCTTCATTATTCGGCGCTGCTGCGTCATATCTCTCCGCATTCCAAAGGTGTCTTACCACGGAGTTTTGCCTTTCGTCTTCCTTCAAATCACTCCACTGCAGTTCAAAAACTTTCGTCTGCTATTTGCATTCAGTTAGGATCGTTTTACAATATTTGGCCTTACTCGAGGGAAACGTTTGTATGTGCGAGTGAATGAGAGAGATATTAATGTGTAATCATATAGGTTCCTTATCAGTTGTGTTTCTCTTAACGCCGGTTGTTGAATTCTTTTTCTAGTCTTTGTTGTTAGAACTCATTTACTTGTTTTCAATTTAAGTTAAAGATCCTTGTTTATCTAAAATATCAATAAAAATTGTAAACATTGAAAGAGAGAACAAATGTATTAAAAAAGTTTTGCTTTTTTTTTTATAATTTTTTTAACCAGCAAGCTTTGTATCCGAAAACTTATAAGCTAATTGTACCACGAACAGGGTATACCCATGAATTTGCAACAAAGTTTGTAACACCCGGAAGAAAGACCCTTTAATTATATATCTAATGATCAACTTGACGAGCCGTTTTAGCTATGTCCAAAGTGGCATTCCTAGTTTTGAGGAATAACAAGAATCTTGCGCTTCTCCTTTTCTGTGTTCTGTTTTCTTTTTTACCTCGTTCCATTATTCTCGTCTTTAATTGTCACACAGAGCTACGGTGGTTGCGGCACGATGTTCATTGAAAGTTTGCCGAAAAAGTTGCAAAGAGTCAATGCAGTAAGCGACGATGCATTATCGTGGTGCACAAGCCAAAAGTTGTCGGCCCAGAATTCCGGTCCCTTTTTACGAACAACTTAATAAAATTACAATAAAACTGAAATATTATTCCTTCTTGATAGTTTTCCCGATCGGAAGGAATTCGGAGTGCACCACACCTCGATAATCGAAGAAAACTGCCACCATAATCTTGATTTTTAACCTGCTTGGACGTGAGTTTTTCGGTTTCGGCTCACTTCTGCCACGAATTTCGGCCGATTCATCGCCTGTTTCCGGGTCGTAAGCATAGATCCAAGACTTATCGCCAGAAATAGTACGTGGAATGACATCCTGGTAGTCGGAAAGCGTTGTTTAACAGACGTTAAAGCGGCGATGTTTTTCAAAAAAATTTGTGATTTTGGAACCAATCACGATTTCACTTTTCTTAGGCTCAAATGATCTTTCAAAATGGTTGTCACTGATCCTACCAATATTCCGACGATGCTTTTTTTATTTTATTGGCGTATTGATTATCAGTAGGGACGTTTTGGACCGATTCAACCAATTTGTGACACACAGTTACTCTTATCAGTAAAGGATTATTCATGAATGTAAATTATATATCTCACACATAGTAAGACTTTGTCACACACATTGACATAAGTCAATAAAAAGTCGACTATATCCAATGAGGTCTACACGGCACCTAGGGGCTTGAATAGTTTTGGTTTGATTTAGAATTATAGGTCATAAAATGGGACACCTCAAAGGTACTATTTGGAAAATGTTTTATCCCGATATATTRTTTTATAACTGAAAAATTTGGTTGAAGTTAAAATTGTGTTATATGGGAAATAGGAAAAGCCTCTTTGCTACTGCGATCCCCTATGCCAAATTACAGTTCTACATCTTAATTTAATGCTTAGCTTATGGCATTTTATTGGTTTTCGTTTAATGGCGTGTTGTGGATGTTCAATTACGTCTATCTACGAACTCGTCCTCACTTTTTATCAACAAACAGTTGTACCCCGCTTTTCAGCTTATGGACTTAGGTTTGAGGATTAAATTGTACAAATAGCAGACTCATTACTCTAATAATAAGAAAAAAAAAGAAAATTGTTCCCATTACAATTAAGAGCTCATACTAGAATAGACTTTCTTATAGATCTTCATCTTCTATCTACAGAGTGCTATACGAGGTCAACAAAAGTTCCCGGCCTGACACATAGCCATCTACATATGTATATGATTATTAGCGTTAACCTTCAAACAGATCATTAGTATGTGAAGACATTTGTCATTTTGAGTAAACCAAGTTTTGATATCCTGATAAACTAGATAAAAAGGAGTTTCGTCTGAAAAATAAAATTGAAACAAAAACTTGGCTTGCTGACAAATTTCGGACATTGCCCCAGGAAATCAACCAACGAGGATTGGTATGTCAACATGAGAGGTGGTGGAATGGAGATTGACTACCAAAGGCGATGAACGCAGTGGACGCCCTAAAGATGTTGTTACCGACGAAAATATTAAGAAATCCACAAATTGCTTTTTCATGATCGTATATTGTAATTGAATGAAATAACAGGCACTCTAAAGATTTCGACTAATGTGTACATCATACGTGTATAATTCATGAATATTTGGATAAAACCGAATTTTTGTGACGATATTAGGCAATGGATGAAACATGTCTAAATCTTTTCCATCCACAACCGTCAGAGTGGACTGCACACGATGAACCCAAAGGGTTAAAAATTGCAACTGTAGGTTGGTAAGGTAAAAATCCATGAATTGAGCTTCGAATTACTTTCGGATCCACCGAATTCTTCAGATCTGGCTACCAGCAAATATTTCTTGTCCTCAGATCAGAATAATGTTTGACTTTGCTCAAAAAAGCTACGACATGTTCAGCAATCATCCTTTCGACTTCCCCCTCATAATTTATATATTTAGTAGTTAATTTAAGAATTTTCTGGTTTACTTTTGATGTAATTGAGCTCCTCGAAATATGAAGACCTTTTGAGTTATATTTAGGAGCTATAAATGAAATGCCTCGTACCGACCAATAAACCCTATTAAACAAGTCATTTAGTAGAATATGAGTTGTGATGGGTCAAATATACTGTTTTGATTATTTTTTTTTTCTCAAAGTACCTAAAAGCCACACACAAATATTTTTGTTTGTTTTGTTGGCAACTATAAACGTGAACAATTGAAGGCAATTTGTTCGAAGCCAGCCAATAAACTGCACCAATCCTTAAATAATCTAAATATGGAGATTAAGCACAGAATAACTCCAGCCAACATGTGCTACTTTGCGATCGGTAGTTCATTTGTGAAGCAACCAGATTCTTCTCTAAAGCAAAAATTACGCTTTATAAGTCTTTCATCGACAACAGAAACATGGACTATGATTAGGCGAGATGAGAGGGACTTGAAGCATTTGAGAGAACTACTCTCTGAAAGGTCTTTGGAGCCGAACGAGTGAGCCTTGAATATCGAATTAATGTAAAACACTGCTATGATCTCATAAGGATAAACGAAACTACGAGTTCGATTCGAGCAAAAACAGTCTACTGTATGAAAATGTATTATTGAGTGCAGGGCGATGAATCTGACAACTTATCGGACCAATCTCGTAAGCAGAGTTTTTCCAGCCCTCACAGAATGAAAGAAAGTTAACTTTAGGTCCCTTTAGATCCTAACGTTTAGACGAAAAGTAAAATTATTATATAAAACTTAAAAAACTACTTATTTTACCCAAAATTATTAATATATTTACTATATATATGTATATATAAAAGCAACTAACGGTTATAGTGTTTGCTTTTTTGATTCTAATTATTTTTACATTTTTTTAGGTACAAATTGCAATTTTTTATTTTAATATACATATATATATATACAATTCTGAGTTTCAATCAATTTTCGAAGCATTCTAATTGGGAGAATATGTAAAATTCAACCATCCGAGAATACTATTCGTCTTTTCTTATTTTGAAATTGTTACTTCTTAGCGTGAGGGGGTACATCGATGGCATAACCTGTCGCAACAGAACTTTTTCCAATCTCAATTTCCCGCTTAGAAGCCATTCTTTAATACTGCTGCGACCAAAATGAAAATGTTTCCTTTAAGACGGTGTATTTTTACGAATTTCATCAAGTATGCGTACGAAGTCACAACCAACCCACTTAAATATGTAAAACTATTTATGAAAAATAATTTCAAATGTTTAATTTTTTTATTTATTTCTTATAATTTTTCATTTTTTTGTGCAAATAATGTTTTTTTAAATATAAAATGTTAATCCTATCCATCTGATCGGCCGCCTTGGAAGGATCCTGTTACGCACTTTCCACATAACCAACTCCAAACAGGCACGAGCGTGACTCTCGTTTTCACATTGAATATCACGCTTTCAGTACTTCTTAGTCAGATCCTTAAGCGAATGAACGTGACGTGGAAAGCGTAGTGGGTGTAGGAACTCATGTGCTGTGTCGACTATCTTCTTATGAATCTCTATAGTATGAGTACCCTCTTTCGTTAACTTTCCACTTTGTAACCATAGTCACTCAAATAATTTTGTGTTAAGATATGCCGATAGTGACGTAAACGTTTTGAGAACTTGATTTCTGATAAATTGAGTTTCTTATGATGATCTAATGATGGCAAAGGTTGTTGGCAGTATAGTGTCAATATCATTATAGCTTTCGATCTGTTTAAGTTTGAGATCTTCTTGTAGTTCTTTTCCTGAACTTTTCTTTTCTCTACTCTTTCTGCTTTTTAAGTTATTCTACTTCTTGATTGTGTTCCTCTTGCTGTTTTAATAGCTCTTCAATTTGTTTCGTAGATTTGTAGAGTGTTCTTCTTGAATCAAGTCAACTAGTCCAGGTTTCAGGAGGGTTTGGAAGTCTTGCTTGTTTGTATTGCAAGTTTTGGACTGTTCCAAGGAATTGATTAACAGTGCGTCGATATTATCCATGTTTTAAATGTTTCGTTCTTAATGAGTATTTGGATGAAAAGATTTTTTTAGTATATTTTCTTTATTATTTATGTTTTAGAAAACAACGCTTTTGTATAGTATCTGGTGGAATTATTAATAGCACATATTAGATGGATTTTTGGCAAATTTTTTTTAGAAGAATGTAACGCTACCGTAGTAGAAGTGACTAGATTTTCGAAATGATTGTCGCTTCCTTTATAGGTGATTCTCAGTCACTTACCTTACGTTGCAGGTAGGCAAATTTAGCAAGGGTGATTAAGGTGATTTAACTACTTTCGGCTTGATCCTTCGGCTATTCGCGTTTATCTTGTGCCTTTCTAAGAACTTGATTTGCTGTAGGCGACTACCTGTGCATGATCGGGTAACGTAATCCTTTTATATATACTTCTGTCTAGTTTTTTGTTTATTTGTGAAACAATGAGCTAACATTTTTATCCAAGAAAAATTGCCAGTACTTAAAATATTTTCAGTAGTTTATAACGGTTGTTTATATATTCGATTCAACTCAGCTTTTCATCTGTCGTCTACCACATTCGCAATTAATATCTGGGTCGTTTATTTTGTTTATGTATCAAAAGGATTAATGTGTTTACATCCTTAACTTCTTTGTAAATTTTATTTTGTGTTCTTTTGACAGCGTAAGGTGGTTTCCCGCTTGATTCAAATTTTTTCGTCGAAATATTTGTGTKTTGTTAAAAAAAGGAAATACGATTATTTAAGTACTTATGATGTATGATTGATTCGAAGTATTCCTGCCGTAAAACCTAATCTCGAAAAGCCTTTATTTTTAATATTTACATATAAGTATAAATTATTATCCAGAAAATGGGCGTAATCGCTCCACATATACTAATCTCATCATCGGAATTAAGAAAATCATACATCGGTTAATCTCTACCTTGACCTTGTAAGTTACTTGGAAATGTATTTTGCACTTTTTCGGGAGTTTCCGAGGAATTATGATGAATAACAGGCAACGAGATTACCTGCATACTAAGTCGCTCTACACCGGCTTTATAAAGGCGAACGAAATCATTGCGCTATCGCAGATTCGACTTTGCACCCGATGTTATCACGCAGTTATTTTATGACGCAACATCTCTGAATTAAATTAGTTTTATAATAATAAAAGACTTAAATAGTCGAGATCGAAAAGGAGATCGAGAGGAGGAGATATTGAGAGATTATATTCAACAGAAACGAGAATGGCGAGAAGAGCAGCAAAACCAAGCAATGCTGAAAACAGAAGAGCAGGAGAAATTTAAACAATATATTCAACAGAAATTAGAACAGAAAAATCTCAAGAAAGAAAAGGAAGGACTAAGGCTGGAAGAAGAGCAAAAACAAGAGATGAAAGCTGAGGTGACCTGTACGTGGCAAATCCCGAGGTGGGATGGAAAAAAACAGCAAAAAATGTCATTTCAAACGCAAATATTGGACAATGAGCTTATAGGGTCTTTACAAAATCGTCACCTGGAGGAGGAGGTTAGGGCGAAGCACATGTTGCAAAAACGACACCTTGAAGAGCAACTAAAAGCCAAACGAGAATTGCAAACTCGTAACTTGGAGGAGCAACTCAGGGTTATGCATACGTTGCAGAAGAAACAGCTGGAAGAAGAGCTTAGAGAGAAGAGATTACTACAGGAGCGACAAATCGAGGAAGAGCTGAGAGCCAAGGAATCTTTACAAAAGCGTCACTTAGAGGAAGAGTTAAGTGTTAAGGAGTTAATATTAAATCGTAAGCGAATATTAAGAAAACAGCGCTGCGAATCGAAGAAACAAACATCAAAACACGAGCAACCACAAAAGTTACAGGAAAATCAGACGAAAGTTCAGCTGGAAGAAGATATTGAAAAATTAGATAAACAGCAGAGTCAAGAAAATTTAAAAAGAGAGAAGCTGAAGGAGCTGCTAAAGCAAGAGATACGTAAGCTGAAGCAGGAAATACAGCTCGAGAAGTTAAAAAAAGCGAATGACAGTGAAGAAATACAAAAAAAATCCATTGTGCATTCCAAACACAGTTTGTCGGAGGCTGATTTTGTCAAGCATTTACGACGCCACATAATCGAAGCAAAACTTCGGCGGTGCCATGGCTATCCAGTCGAGAGAGTCACCCACGATGGCTGCGTGGAGATTCACAAATACCTACCAGACCACGTCGGCTTATCAGAATGTGTCACAGACAACGGTGTTACTGTTAGCAGTAGTTCTAGTTCGTTCTCGGTGATATCGGAAACGATCGATAGTAATGTTGACGATTTAGCGATCCCTAACAAAGACGACAAAGATCAATACCACACACAGCTCGATGAGTTCAGTACTATTTCAATAACAGAAAAACACAAATCGAAAAAAGTGGTATCGACAAGCACTAACAGCTCATTTTCAGTGATATCAGACACGAAGGACGATTTAACGATCCTTAACAAAGGCGACAGAGATCAAAACCAGATACAGCTCGTTGAGTTCGGTCCAATTCCATGGACAGAAAAACACACATCGCCTAGAATGTCATGCAGTAGCAGCTCATTTTCAGTAATATCAGAAACGAATGATAATAATGTAGACGGTTTCATCATTCTCAATGAGTTCTTGCGGAAAGATTGCGTACGCTGTGGTCGACCCTTTTACGTCAATGAATTGGGCGAATATTTAAATCGCGAAAGATGCACTTATCATTGGGGCAAGCTGCACTACGCCTATAAAGGTAAACGGGTCTACATTCCGCAATATACCTGCTGTGAGGGCAACAAAGGTTCCGAAGGTTGTGCACGTCATCCGCTACATATATGGAGTGGTATTTTAGACGGTGTAAACGGTCCCTACCATGACTTCCTACGTACGCGTGCATGCTGTAAGAAAACCGGCGATGTGCCCAAAGTGTATGCACTGCAGTGTAAAACGTGTATCACTGGGCGCGGACTCGAGGTAACCAAGGTTATGTTGATGAGTTACGACGGACAATTGGTATATGACCAGTATGTACAGCCGACAACTGACATCGTAGATTATTGGATGTACTACTCGGACAAAAGTCGCACGGATACACTTGAAAGTAGAAGTTTTAAGAGGTTGGGCGATGTTCAACAGGATTTGCTCGAATTGATCGATGAAGATGCCATACTCATTGGACACTGTTTAGAACATGAATTGCGTGTGTTGCGCATTTTGCATAACAATATCGTGGATATAGCTATCGAATTCGCACATCCATTGGGTTTGTTCCCGGGTCGGTCACTTCAGAACTTGGCTGAGATTTATTTAAAGCGCAGCACTCAAGGTGACAGCGAAGACAATGATAGTTTAGAGGATATGCGCATTTGTTTAGAGCTCATGAAGTGGAGAGTGCGAGAGGATAAGCGTCAAACCGAATTAAACCCATGAACGGAACTTTATTATTCTTTTATGTTTTTATGCCAATAAATATGAAATGATTAATTTTTGGTAATTTTGTTTGAAAAATATATAATAATTATTGAATACAACAAAAGCTAGAAACATAACCTGAATGTGTTTGTTATTGGAAAAATATTATAATTTTGTAATATAGGTTAAGAGTTATATGGGTTTCGGTTTTTCAAAAAAATTTTTCTCATACAAAATATGAAATATTTTTTCATAATAATATTTCTCGGCATTTTTATTGTTACAAACATACATACACTATTAAGAAAGAAATTCTGAAATATTTCGAAAAAAATATTTGGAAAAAATATTTGAAACTCGGCCATTGTAACCCTTCGGAAAAAAGATGCGACTGCGTTGACAGAATAAGTCCTTACAGGATCCTCTGAAAAATGCGTATTTTAGCTTAAACCTTAACTTAGAACTTGAACAAATGAAAATTGAAACTGAAAATCGGATTTTTGGCAGACATTTTTACAAAAAAAAAAAAAAAAAAAAAAAAAAAAAAAAAAAAAAAAAAAAAAAAAAAAAAAAAAAAAAAAAAAAAAAAAAAAAAATGAAAATTTCGCGATGTTTTTTTTTTGCAAATAATATACTAAAGTAATCCAAACAAAAAGCCTTCGTTCAAATCTTTAAGAATTGTATCTCAAAGACCTGTGTAAAACTTCATGAAGATCGGTTGAGTACTTATTTCTCGAGAACTGACTACAGAAACACAGTTTCGAGAAAAACGCGTTTAAAGATGGGTCACATCTCTAATTAGTTGATGTTACAATATGTGTATTAACTTAAGAATCCCAGAAAACAGGGTTGTCATCTTTTCGGGAGATTGCGCTGTTCTCGCAAAAAGTTCTTCGGGTGAAGTCAACTATTACGTTTGTTTTTTGGTCGCTGGTGTGTATACCATGCTTCATTGATTGTAACGGAACGACGCAGATACAGGAATTCTACTTAAAGAGCGCCAATCCTGCAACTACGCTGTCTCAGTTTGATGATTGTTGTCTGGAGTATGTTGGGTAGAACGCATCGGACGGATAGCTTTCCCGTCTTGATCGAAGTGTATAGAAAACTTTTTATAAGCCTCGGCTTGACATACTCTTTCTAGCCTTCGGTGGATTTGATGCTAAAACGACGATTTTAAAGCACTGTTGTCGTCGTTGACAGAAGTGCATGGACGGCGCGGATGAATTAAGTTTTCGATGACCTCACGATTTTCACTGAATGCTTTGTGCCACTTAAATTCATGTGTTCGTTATAACGTAAACACTTCTGCATTGGTAGGTTTGCATGCTAGCTAAAGCTGTTGACAGCTAATTAGAAACGCTACATAGTTTGAAGTAAATGATGCTATTTTCCAATAAATCACTTATCTTTACTGTTTCTTCACTCATTTTATTGAAACTTGCGTTAAACTTAAACTCGAATACTAAAAATTATTTTTAATTAAATTATAGAATTAAAGGAGGTAAGCGATTAATATTTATTACATCGCTCCAAACGATATACCACCGTTGAATTGATTTTTTAGGCCAATATGAGTTGGCAAAGTGTACGCCTCGTTTCTACGAATTTTAGTCAGAAGTGAGTTCCTGTGTGTTGCTCTGCCGTGAAGTCCAGATTCGAACAAACACCGCAGCTGCAGCTTTTTCTCATTAAAAACTTCAATAATATATATTTTACACCACGCCTTTGAAACACACGCTTACTTGTAACATAAAACTACTTAATGACCTTCTCTCCCGGAACAAAATCATGATGCACCAAACCACGAATATCGAAAAAACAGTGACCATAATCCTAATGTTTGTGCGGCTTTTGGACCCATGTCTTATCGGCAGCTGTAATGCTTTCCATGAATGTGGAATCGGTATTCACACGGTAAAGCATGTTCAAGGACGACTCGAGCAAAAACGAGTTTCATACCCTACATATCCACTAGACTCTTTCGAACGGACTCGCGAGAGATGTCGACGTTTCCTGTCATTTCTCTAGCACTTGCCTGACGACTTTCAAGCGCCATATCTTTCACTTTTTTAATATTTTCGTGAATTGAAGATGTCGAAGGTCGTCCGACGACCGCCTATGAAGGCTTTTTACTATTCGTAGACTTGTGCTGGCACACGAAATATATCTGTTATATATAGCTTAAGGATCTCTTACGTGTTCTTCTGGACATTACCAACTTCCTGGCAAATTTAAAAATATAACTATATACAATTAAAAACACTTCTGATGTAATGTACCGAGATTAACATGGAGAAGAGAAAACCTTGAAAGCTACAAATGCATTAATATGATAATTAGTTTGTATTGTTTAGTTTACCACAGGTAAATGATCGTTTGAGGGAGTAACTGTGAGATAGATACCCAAAAGTCGAAAAATCTGAAATTTCTACCTGCTTGATACTAATATTTTTTGCAGAGTATATAAGTAGCTGTTATCCTTTCCTTGGCATAGTTTCGATCAGACTTCGAACGCTACACACCATACTTGAGAAAATAGAAATTTGTTCATCGCGTTTAACAAATGAGTCAACTACAACTACAAGCAGTCTATCTTAGTCAGATTCTTCACGATGTTAGACCACTGTTTCACTATATCATCAGACCATTGTTACGTGCAGCAGTGCTTGTGATGACATTCTGTGATCTTGCACCAAAAACACTGGATCACCGGGTCTTTACTTTTATTAATGTGAATCGTCGGCAGAAACGATTGCCGTCGAAGCAACTGCAAGAGCTGATACAGCTGAAAAAGAGGAGACAAGCAGAGCTGAAGAAAGAACAAGAAATTAGAGAAAAGTTGGAGAAAAAGAAAAGTAAAGAACAAAAATTAGGTGATCAAAAGCTCAAAGAGAAACAAGAGCTTGAAGGAAAAAGATTATTGCAGAAGAAGAAGCGGCTAGATACATTGAAACAGCAACGCGAATTAAAACGACAACAACAACGAGAGAAGAAATGTCGCCAACAAGAATTGCGGAGAAAATACGAGCTCAAGCTTATGCAAAAACAGCAGTTTATAGAACAGCTTGAAGACGAGGACTTCCTAGGCAACCAGCAAGTTATATTAGAGGCCCAATCTGAGAAAATCGAAGATATTGAAACAGATGTCACACCTTTACTGCAGTTCGCCAAGCCTAATTTGTCGGAGACTGAGTTCGTGAAACATTTACAACGGTATATTATGGAACCCGGTTTATTACGTCTCTATGGCTACCCAACGGAGAGCACCACTCACGAAGGCTGCATCGAAATTTTTAAGTATATACCTCATCAGTTTGGTTTACGAGGAAGCAACTCGAGCGAGTCGGAAAACAGTAGCAGTTCACGTTCACCCTCAAGAAGCTCGAATTCAGGAGATAGCTATTCAACAGCAACGGACTGCGATTCCACCGAAACAAGTGAAGATGAAGAAGACGTCTTCGAAGAAACAAAGAAAATATGCGCAAGATGTGGGCGTTTGTTTCACGTTACCGATTGCTTTGAATATGTAAGCCACAAAAGCTGCACCTTTCACTGGGGTAAACTAAATGGTACATACAGCAAAGGGGGTTATACCACACAATACACATGTTGTGCAGGCGCTAAGGATTCGGAAGGCTGTGAACGTCACTCACAACACGTATGGAGCGGTGTTGTCAACGGTATAAATGGGCCTTACAGTGATTTCGTGCACACGCTGCCACGTGCAGGTAAAACAGCTGGCGCTTCCAAAGTGTACGCATTGGATTGTGAAATGTGTTACACCGAGCGTGGACTCGAAGTAACTAAAGTCACAATTGTTGGTTACGACGGTCAGGTGGTTTACGACCATTTTGTGCGGCCCACAGACAAAATTGTTGATTATAATACACGCTTTTCCGGTGTAACCGCAAGCGATCTATGTAAAAATAAAAACAAGAATTTGAAAACCCTCAAAGAAGTTCAAAAGGATTTGCTGCAACTGATCGATGCCGATGCCATACTCATTGGTCATGGCTTGGAGAACGATTTGCGTGCGCTGAAGATTGTTCATAAAAAAGTTATCGATACAGCATACGAGTTCCCACACCCCTTAGGTTTCCCATATCGCCGTTCGCTTAAAAGTCTGACTAAAAAATACCTAAAACGCGAAATTCAATGTGGGAATGAGGGTCACGATAGTTTGGAAGATACGCAAGCATGTTTGGAGCTGATGATGTGGAAAGTGCGTAAATACATAGATCTAGCGTAGTTGTTATTGTTGTGAATATTTATTATATTATATTAAGCAGTTAGTTGTAAGAAATAAGAAAAATATATATAATATTTAAAATTGATATTAAACTGTAAAATTGTTGTCTAATAATACAAATTACAACAGTATATATATAAGTATAAGTTTTTAAAGAAAGATTAGGGTTCCTACTGGACGAAATTGAAATCTGAAGAAATTCGTATTATAGGTCTAGAGAAAAGTAATTCATTTTTGTTGCACAAAATTTAGGGTTTTATTTAACATAGTCAGCATGACAGTCGATTTTCACAAGCTTCACTTGAGACGATTTTTTCAAGAGAAAAATCAGTAGCCATAAATCGGCACAGATTGTAATCACTTGGTGTCAGGTGACTATAAGGAGGATGCCAACCAAGCCTATGGAGCTATATCTATCGTTGGCGTCTTTCTGGTGGAACACAATTCTTCTTCCACAGGAATTATTATATGGAAATTCAAAGAGACCTAGACTGTTCGGCCACGAAACGTTTTATAACATTCGATCAACCTTTCTGTAGTAATTCTTTATGCTTTCGATTTGCTAATTTCTCTTTCTAGAAGTGGTGCAGCCCGTATTCTATGTGATGTACGACTATGTTTCTTATTTCTACGATGTCGCTATAACCATACATTCATACAAGGTGCGTTCCAAAGTAAACAGCACTTAAAAACAAATAAACAGAACAAATAGTTTTTCCCTTTTAAATGGCCTCTATGTCTGCTTAACGCTTTCCTTTCATGGTTAAATAGCTATAATGTGATTTTTGGTCAAATAATCGGATGCCCTTCGAATGTTGGATTCTGAGCAATTTTTGGTCGTCAGTCAATTTGTGCGGAACAAAAAGCCCAAATGTTCAGTGAAAATGCGATAAATCGATGTTTTGTTCTTTGTGCGAAGCTTATTTTCGCACCGATAACACAAACATACTTACACTTAAAACGCAATAACTTCACTAATGAATGAAATGTTATGAAATTCTCACTGGACAATCGATAAAGTTAGCAGATTCTAACGCACCAGTCGTCATATAGATTCAAAAAGTCCTCTTTGTTTTGGCACGCACCTTGTATATGAGTCACCATTGAATCCCGAAAAATTACGGTTAATTAATGAATATAAAGATTGTTTTTATAAAAGATTCCCTGTGAACGGGTTTATATATACATATATAGTTGATGGTGTCTATATGAAATATTATGACAACATTTTAAGAAATTAGAAAAAATTCTTTATAATCCTTTGTAACTTCGAATGATAATATATGAAATAAAATAAGCAATATTGTAGAATTTTAGTTGCAGCAGGGAGTCGATATAAAAACCACATAATTATGATGAATCTGTTTCTTACATGTTTGAAGCAATTTTTATGCTTATGCAATCATTATTAGTGGGATAATCGACTTTTTTGAGTTCTCTCTTATGTTTTGCATATGACTCTTATTAAATATAAGAATTTTCGAGTCTAGGTTTGTTCGGCAGGATGGATTAATCCAAATTTTAATACACGTTTATTTTTTCTACTAACATCTCAAAGATATTGGCATTATAATATCTATATCAAGACAAAAGATAATACAAAATTCTTATTTCTGAAAGTTTTAATTGTTAATTGCGAGTTTCAAGCGGCAAACATTAGTTGGAGAAAGGAAATATCCATAGAGGTTTTAAAACTTAAACATTCTGGAACAAAATTCCCATATTTCTTAATAAATTTTTTCAAACAATTTCTTGAATAAAATTCAAAAATAAGACTAAATTATCAGCCGAAAGCCTTTGATGCTAGCGCTGCGTACTTTAGTTTATTTAATAATTTGTTTATTATGTAAGCTTTAATAAAGTAAAATAAAAAAAAAGACTAAATTATTTTGCATTTATCAAAAAAAAAAAAAATGTTCAATACTCATTTAATTATCTATAAAAATTCATAATTCTGCATATTTATCATTGAATCCATTTAAAGTCTTATTTGAGCTACAATTTCAAGGTTAGCTTTCCTTATTTTTAGATTATTATTTCCACAAATTGTTTAAAATTAAGTGTAGTAATGATTTGGAACTATGGAAATACCAAAGCATCAAAATATGATCCCTAACGAGACCATGAATGCTTTTTCATCAAAATTACATCATAATTCATAGAAAGCATCAGGTAACACCAAAAATAATTTCCACAAAAGTTAAATGAATTAGCTGAAAAAAGAGTAATCCTTTTGTTATATAAAAAAAATTAAAAATAAAAGAGATGACAGGTAAAATTTGACAAAATAAGATTAACACAGAAGGAGCCGAAGGGTCAAGGCGAACACAGTGAAATCTCCTTAATAAATTTCGTTACGTGCGCCTACCTGCAACGTTAGCCCAATGACTGAGAATCACCTATAAAATAGGCGACAATCCTTTCGAAAATGTAGTATAACATTCCTCTTAGGCAAAATCAGCTAAAAATTCATGTACTATCTGCTATAATAACTCCACCGAAAACTATATAAAAGCAGTTGTTTTCTACAAATACTTATAAAACATAAATCTTAATGAAAAAATACTAAACAATTTACAATCCAAATACTCACAAAGACCGATACATTTAAAGCATCAATAATTTAGAGGAACAATCCAAAAATTTAATTGGCTACCAACAGGCCGTACAAAGCTTCCAGAAACCTGGTCTAGATGACTGGATACAAGAAGAGCAGATACCTTTTGGCCGATCAAGAAGTAGAAGAACTTATTAAACGGGAAGAGTTAGAAACTCTTTCAGGAAAAGAACTACAAAAACTCAAACTTAACAAGATCGAAAGTTCTAATGCCGTGATACTGCCAAAAACCATGTCACCATTAGATCAACATGAAAAACTCAATTTATCAGAGGTGAAATTCGTAAAACGTTTACGTCGCTATCGGCATATCTTGCCACGAAAATTTTTGCGTCACTATGGCTACCGATTGGCAAGTTATTTCGATGACGGCTCTGTCTGGATCTATCAGCACCCGTTAAGCCACGAAACCACTAATACTATTGGGGCCTGAATTTGGAGGAACGTGTTTGCGAACGATGCAATCTATCCTTTTACGTGAGCGTGAGCAATCGTGGAGTCGAAGTAGCCAAAGTATCGTTAGTTGGTTACGATGGTCAAGTGGTTTATGACCATTGACCGCAAAAGATCTATGCAAAGTTGAAAAAAAACCCTTGAAGACCTTTGCCGAAGTACAAAAGTATTTGCTGCAACTGATCGATGTCGATACAATACTCATAGGTTATAGCATGGAGAATGATTTGCGTGTGCTGAAGATTGTTCATAAAAAGTTAGTCGGTACAGCACATGAGTTCTGACACCCAATACGCTTTGCACGTCACATTCATTCGCTTAAGAATCTGACTAAGAAATACTTAAAGCGTGATATTTAATGTGAAAACGAGAATCACGACAGTGTGGAAAACGCTCGTGCCTGTTTGGAGTTGATTATGTGGAAAATTCGTAATAGGATCCTTCCAAGGCGGCCGGTCAGATGGATAAGATAAACATTTTATATTACAAAAAATATATTATTTGCTCAAAAAACAACAAAAAATATGAAAACTAAATAAAGAATTAAAGAGTTGATATTATTTGTAAGCGTACAAATATTATTATATTTTAATATTTTAAAGTGAAAAAGACGAATAGTGCCCTCAGATGATGATATGTTTCGGAAATTGTATGAAACTCAAGGTTTTATTAATACGCAAGCATAATGGTTAAGAAGACAATTCGTACTCCATGAGTTGAAAGATTTTTGGAATAACAAATGTAACTCAGTGAATCGACCAGTGCCGAGTTAGCCACGTAGCAAGAGTAGCAAATGCTACGGGCCCCGCGCTCCAACTTTACGCTCCATAAAAAATATCAATTTACATGGAGCGTAAAATATCCTTGCATGCTTTAAACGCGAAGTGCTTAGGCAATGCTTCACTTCCACCTGAAAATCTAAAACTTGATTTTGTCACGTTAAATCGTAAAAATAAGTAGGCATTTTACGAATTTCTCAACTTTAGTGTTCTAATGTTTAATTATAAATATTATAGTCGATTTATTTAAAACCTCTATAAATTTGCTACCGCTTCTACCTATCCCGAGCTGATGCTACGAAGGCACTTTTATGTGGTTTTATCACTACTAAGCAAGTATTGGAAGACATTTTCAATGACGTGGATCAAAAAGCTGAGTGCCGTAATAAAACGTACTGACTACTTTCAACGATGAATAAGTTAGAAACGGGAATAATGACAATTGCGTGGAACGAAGTCGTAGAACGCTTGCAAACAACTAGTGGTTCGCTGCAGTCGTCTGATCAAGACCTTAATAAAGGGATACGCCCTTTATGAATCATTATATTGCCATGTCCAAGCAATGCGATCCACTTTTTCAGATATTGAGACAAGAGTTAAAGATCTGACCTACTGTAAGGAATATCAGCAGCAGATATCACGACGAATCAAGTGAGATACAAGGTACGACCATTTCAGCGGCTCCACTACACCCGACGACTTTGTTGAATATCAAACACCTGGACAACGTTTCGAATTTGAGACGTTTATTGTCATTATTGTGTAGTTGATTGCTTTAACTAAACGAATGAAAGCATATCATAAAATTACTAGTGTTTTTGAAGTATTTCGACAGCTAAAATCTCTAACAACAGAAGAGATTTTGGAAAAATTGTATAGTATGGTCAGTGCTTACGAAGATGATTTGGAGAACAGCCTAGGCGGCGAATTAGTGCATTTAGTAGAGCTGCTGAAAACAGATGTGGGCTACTGTTATTGACAGCAAGAAAGCCTCTGGAACAGCAATATAATAAACTTGTAATAAATAATTCTTTAGAATGTTTCCCAAACTTAACAAGTAAGGAAGGGCTAAGTTCGGGTGTCACCGAACATTTTATACTCTCGCATGATAAAGTGATAATAGAGATTTCAGGCGTGGTTGTGAACCGATT